CTTCAAGATATACACTGGGAAAGAGCAGGGGTCCCTACCTTCTTCACAGATGGCGGTGGTGGACCTGATGGGGGCAGGAGACTTTTTCTGGAAGGGGTACACCGTCTTTGTAGACAATTGGTATATGTCTCCTGTCCTCTTCCACTACCTGCAGTCCAGGAAGACTGGTGCTGTGGGGACTGTACACCTGAACCGCTGCCACATGCCTCGGGACTTGAAGGTCCTGAGGCAGGGGGACGTGGACTCCCGGAATTCCCCGACTGGCATGCTGGCGCTGGCCTGGATGGACAGCAAACAAGTAACAATGTTATCCACAGTCCACAGGTCACAGATGGTTCAGGTTCGCCGTCGTGGCAGTCCACTAGTGGAGAAACCAGACTGCGTCGTTGCATACAACGACGGAATGAAGGGGGTCGACCTGGGAGACCAGCTGGTGCAGACGTACCCTTCAGTGTGCACAGGGCACTGAAGTGATACAAGATATTTTTTATATTTATGATCTGGCGACTGTCAACAGCCATGCTGTCTACAAGTATCTAGGCAACAGGTCGGAGCAGATCGACTTCCGACTAGACCTGGCCATGTCGATCATAAACACTTTTGTCCCTGACATCGAGCCCTACAGTGCTTGAGGGAGACCGGTAATTCTACCTTCCCCTTCCAGATTCCAGGGCAGGACACGCTGCGTCGTGAGGGAGACGCCTGGTGGAAAATATAGAAAGTGTTTCCTTTGCTACAGGGCCGGGAGGAGGAAAATGACGACCATCTGCCTTGCCTGTGAGGTCTCGCTGTGCACCTACAGGTGCCTTGAAAAGTATCACGAAAAAAAATTGATATAATGGAAAAAATAAAAATGGTGATGGGTACAAGTCTGTTTCTTGTTTTCCTTTTTGTAATTGAAAAAGGCAGCAAAGTCCACATTCTGACCTCTTATATAAAAAAACAGCAACTTTTATCATTCATAAATAAGCTAAATGAACTCTATTCTCTCTTACAAGTCTCGTACGAAAGAAAAAAAACACTAAACTTACACAGTATGACCTCTCATATCAATACAAAGCTATTTTTGAGCATCAAAGTGAAGCTACATTCACTTCTGCTTTTCTTCCTTTTCTGTTGAAAGAAATAAAAAATATATGGTTTGATCTCTCATATGGACAATGCACTGCTTCTGAGCATCAAAATGATATTTGGCTTGCTGCTGTGCTTCATATTTTGCTTCATTTGAAAGTTTGAAAAAAATCAAAAGAAACGGCTAAGTCCATAGTTTGACATCTCGTTCAAAAACAACACTAACTTTTAGCCTCAAGGTGTTGATGTCATCTGTTAATGTAGACTACTTGGAAGCGATTCAGTATCTCTCCTAAATGCAAAGGCGAAAGAGTGCCTAGAAAACACCATGAGAAAAGTGCAATTTCTACAGATTACCCTTATATAAAACCCAACTTTACTATAAGATCTATGGCCAGATTCCTTCAAAATTGATATGATGGTCTTTGCGCAGCCGCACCGCGCCAGAAAAAATCCCATAGCGGGGGCCCGCGTGGCTGGCAACTATTCCCAGGAGCGGGGTTCAGCGACGAGCAAAAAATTTCAGGGCGAATGGGTGTTAATAAGAATAACAGCATCGATATTGAAAAAATTAGTATAAAATAAATAAATAAATAAATAAATAAAATGTTTCCTCCACAAATTCAAGGAAAGGTGAAATCAGGTAAGGTTGCAAGGTCTAACAATTAACTCCTTTGTGGCTAAACACTAGCAGAGATTTCACCAAACAATACCACAGTAATCATCACTGACATACACACTTTGCAATATCATAAAGAGAAGCTGGAGGTACATATTAAACTCCAATGGGTATCAATATCATTCCATAAAAAAAAAAATTGTTTATAAAACAAGACCAAAAATGTCTTAGCAAATGTCTAATGACTTCTGAAGATAATACTTTAAATAAATTAAACCTGATGACTGATATCAATCATTTACAATAATTCAGACACAATTCAAACAGTATGCAATAACACAAATTACAACCAATACAGATTTTACTACTAAAAAAAATAATCATTCACTCACCTGGTAATTTCCATAAATACACACCATCTTGTTATTTTTGCCCATGCCAAGTTTTCCCGCTTGATCAGTTGCCATACCAAAAGTGGAGAGATAGGCAGGTCGCATGCCCAAATCTGGGGCGTCATCTTTAAAAACTGCAGTGAAAGAAAAGTATATAAAGATTTTCCATTCAAGATAAATACAGGAGAAAAAGGTTACATAACTATTAAATTCTTTTGTACTTACAGATAATACATAAAATAAATATATAAATATGTAATGTGTGTATGTATATCTATATCTATATCTATATCTAGATAGATATAGATATAGATATAGATAGATACAGATAGAAATAGAGAGAAAGAGAGAGACAGAGAGATATATACATCTATAGATATATAGATAAATGATTTACAGACATAGTCATACTATATATTTATAGACTGCAGGTATATATAAAGGAATAAATATAGGCAAATATTCATACATAGAGAGATACACTAATAGACAAATTTATAAACAAATGTATATCAAACCTTTTAACAACTGCACACCATCTCGATCGGTTATCACAATACCAAGAAGATTGTCTGTCCTGGAATGGTGGTAATAAATTTTAATATTGTTTTATTTCAATGTATTACATTTTTTTTTAACAATCTGCTCATTCAAACCATAAAACAAAATTCATCCATCTTATCAAAAATATATAATTGATATACATGTAACCAGATGCATTATTTATCAGAAAAAAATACATGGAAATTACAAACCTGTGCAACAGCTCAACAAGGAATTTTCTCATATCCTGAAAATTAAGAAAATAGGTATTAACCATACACTTACTGAAACAATATATTATGATGAGAAATTAATTAAGATTTATATTCCAGCCCAAGATAAACCTAAAATATCAAGACTAGACTATATCCTAGATACTAATACTAATACTAATACTAATACTAATACTAATACTAATACTAATACTAATACTAATACTAATACTAATACTAATACTAATACTAATACTAATACTAATACTAATACTAATACTAATACTAATACTAATACTAATACTAATACTAATACTAATACTAATACTAATACTAATACTAATACTAATACTAATACTAATACTAATACTAATACTAATACTAATACTAATACTAATACTAATACTAATACTAATACTAATACTAATACTAATACTAATACTAATACTAATACTAATACTAATACTAATACTAATACTAATACTAATACTAATACTAATACTAATACTAATACTAATACTAATACTAATACTAATACTAATACTAATACTAATACTAATACTAATACTAATACTAATACTAATACTAATACTAATACTAATACTAATACTAATACTAATACTAATACTAATACTAATACTAATACTAATACTAATACTAATACTATACTAATACTAATACTTAGATACTGATACTAATAATTTAAACTGAACTGGTATTCTAGTACAGCAAACAAACTTGAATCATTGGAAAACCAAACATATCTAGGAGATACATAACATTTAATATCTCAATAAAAAATTATAAATATAAAAAATTCACTCAAATAAAAAGTATGTTCATGTGCGCTAGGCCTACAAGCCACACACACCCAGGAGAGTCATCACTAAAGTAAACCCAATGACCAAACTTCTGTCTATGTGTGGGTAGCAAGGCACCCAGATCCTTTGGGTTAATGCCTCAATATCCCTACAGATGTGTTTAAATCTCTCCCACATTTTCCAGATGAGAGAAAGCTTGGACTGGACCCTGGGAAGTTAACCTAGCTCTATTTTGCCAGAATAGGAAGGTTTGCTGGCCTTTGCTGGATCTTGGTGCATGGATGCCACAGCAGTGCTGGACTTAGCTACTTAAGCACAGGTTGGAAGGTTTAGAATATTACTGTTTTATGTTTTCTTCATAGATATTACATTGGTTTTCAAGTATTTTCATGTAGTTCTATTCTGAACAATCAATGAAACAAAGACTATGCTTAAGCTCTTTTTTTGGTCAGAGTTGCTATCTCAATTAACATGTTCTGCAACCTCAGTATCATGAAATATTATGTGAATTGAAAGTTAGTTCAACATTTGTCAATGAACATCAAACAAAATGGAAATTTCGCATCACAAATAACAACCAGTCATATAACGTGTTACATTTCACCTTGCTCTAACTCTGCACGGCCAACTGCCCCGCACATTTGAATAAACATACAAGACTACCGACGCTAACCCCTCACCATAAATCACGCAAATCACCATAATACAAATTACTAAAAGTTACGCCCCTCTTCTACCAGACAACCAGCCACCACAGACGCCTTCGTCATTTGGCATAAGAATGAGATCAGTCAGTCTATTCTCTGATGCCTAAAGCTCCCTGAACACCCCCATCCTACACGTATCTCTCCTTTTTAAATTAATTTCCAGACGATGAAATAAGCAGAGACTCGCCTCCACCATTGTCATCACGAGACCAAAACACAGGAGGGTGTTTCCGGGGATTAGAGTTGGGAGTTTAGAAATTGAAGTGTTCTTTTCCTTCTTGGTGTTTGTTTGCTTGTCTCTGCGGAGTGGTTTGTTCCTTTTGGATTCTTCTTTGGATTGGGGTAGTTTTCTTTTGTCACCGGTGGGGAAGAATAGGAGTTTAAAGGCTATATTGAAAATATTAACAAATCTAATATACAAAACTATAATGCGTAATGTCCGTTGATGTTTATTTACCTATTGCGCAGTAGATATATACTTTATTTTATCTCCACCACTGTCATCCCCCTATCATTTTATTTTAATAAACATATACATTTAAAAATATGATATAATTTTGATCATAAATCTAGAGCATATATACATCAAAACATTTCAAAAACATTTCAAAACCGCCAGAAATCCAGAGCGCGAGCCGTAATTACCAGCGCCCCTTCCCACAGCTGGCCCTCCCCGATGCCACCATGACGGACTTCGAGTGGCCTTGGCAGTATCAGTTTCCTCCCTTTTTCACGTAAGTCACTTGCGAGGGCACGTCGTTATTTAGTTCAGGGTGGGTTTGGGAAGCAGGTCGTACACGAGACGAGATGGCTTCGTTATTTGTTAAGGGGTTGGGTCAGAGTATCGTGTTTGGTGTGGTGTGTAGTTTCTGTAGTTTTTGGTGTGGTATGTAGTTTCTGTAGTTTCGGTAAATATTCTATATCTTGTGTGGGAATTCGTTGATTGTTGGTCAGGAATGCGAGGGAGGGAGTTCAGCGTTTATTCAGCTAGGGATCTCTTTATCGTGTAAAAATGTTTGGTTGCATGCCATAGATGCCCAAAATTCCACTTTTAAGTTTATATTAAGTCTATGGTAAGTTCATCCTCCCCCCTCATTTCGTCCTCCATGTTGATATCAGGGAATGTCTGCTACAAGTAATCTTGCACGTTTGACATTGGATTGCATCCCCTCAGATGAATCTCTAAGAAGGGTATAGTTTCAGGTTCACACAGCCATATAAAACTATTGCAAACAAAAGTAATGCACTTGTTGCTAGATGTATGAGAAGAAAAAAAATCAATAGTTTAAGAGATTGTCAGCTCTCTTTATAAACTGTATTTTCACAATAAGGCAAATATTGTTATATATTCATTAATGTAATGGTCCATTGTAATTACTGAACTAGAGAAATAGGGTAAATTGTCTGACATATAGTGTTTGGGCACCAGGCCCATTTGGATAATATTGCCATCTGTTATTATGCCAGAGTCAAGGACAATGCAGGAAAGTCATGCAATGATTTATGTCAGGTACCCAATTACTTTGAAGCAAACAGATCACATTTATAAATAAATGACAGGAGCCAGAGGAGAAAATATCATATATACACAATACATTTGTCTTTTTTCAATATTCATTTATGTGAGATGAAGTTTCAAAGTGGGAAAGTTAATTTGGGGGTGTAAACTAATCATACAATTCATTATCAATCTACCAAATCAATTTCATTTTATTTCACTACCATAGACAGCCAAAAAGGCAGACATTAATAATTAATCTTTACAGTATGGACACAATAAGCTTGGGGAAAATAAAGATGATATTCTTGTAGAGTACTCCTCCCCCCCCTCACTCATTCCTTCCCTTGACTTTTTTCCTTCTTCCTCAGACTTCAACCCAATTCGGATGTGAGGAAGATCCAGCTAGATGCCTGGTGTGCGCTGGTCCTCAGTTGGGGGAAGAGCAACAACGTCAGTCAGATTGATGTGACGGAGGCCTCTAGCTTGCCTGTCTTCAGGTGAGAAAGTTGCAAAGTTGTTGTGTTGCAACTGAGGTTCGTTGTGTTTGACTATTTTCTTTTTTTGCATGTAGATTTTTTTTTTCTTCTTCTTCTTCTTCTTCTTCTTTTTTCTTTTTTCTTTTTTTTTATCCATTTAAGGCAAGAGTATCAAGTTTTCAGATACGTCATTAAGGTACCAAAGCTACTGGTCCTAAAAGTATTCAGTATTCTTCCCAGTAAAGAGTGGTTCCTATACTAAATAGCCTCATATTCCATTGGTTATAATTTTGTAGTATATTGTAGAGTTTTATTTAAGAGATATCCATTGAAAAAGTGTTTCCTCTGACAATTCTTATATAGTGCTAGGGCTACCAATAGCAGACGTTATTTGAATTTGTCTTTAGATGTGTATTTTTGTTTGTTCATTTCCTATGAAGCTCATTTAACAGGCAAAAGCAACTTGTTGTTATAGTTGCCATATCCAGAAGCATATAGAAAGTAATTTAAAAAGTTAGAACACTCATTCTAGTTTTCAGTTTGGCAACCATAACTGGCTACTTTTTTTTTTTTCTTTTCTTTTCTTTTCTTTTCTTTTCTTTTTTCGTCTTCTTTTTCTTCTTCTTCTTCTTTGTTTTCTTTTTCTTCTTCTTCTTCTTTGTCTTCTTTTTCTTCTTATCTCTTCTTTTTCTTTTTCTTATCTTTTCTTTTTCTTTTTCTTCTTCTTATTCTTTTATTTTATTTTATTTTCATTTTTTCCTTCTTCTTCTTCTTCCTCTTCCTTTTCTTCTTCTCCTTCTTCTTGCAACAGAATACTGAATCCTCTTCACAACACATAGCCCAGTTCTAACCAAGCTGTGGAATTCTCGTGAAATCACCAATTTAGATTAATCCTTTACCTGCGTCTCATCAACTTGTTCATTACTTACAGGAACTCTGCCATCAGTCGTGCTTTACCAGCTGATGCTATTGCAGTTGTTTTAGAAGAACTTGCAAAGCGAGGAAATCTGGAGTGGACGGATAAATCGAAAAGGAGGTAGGTTATGTGCTGTTGTAGATGTGTCATATAAAGAAATGTTGTGTTAGAGTTGGGGTAAAGGTATGGGAATGAAGTTGTTTTTTATCATTAATGATGAGTAAGACAAGTTTAAGAAATCTGAAGCGCAAGGTAGAAATTGTTTGAATGTTTTGTCATTTTTTGTGATGAGTTACCTTTTTTCTTTATTTTATTTTATTTTATTTTCCATTCTTCTTCTTCTTCTTTTCTTTTTTTCTTTTTAAGACATCTCCAACATGAGCATGTAGTTATTTAAAAGCAAGCATCTATCGAAGTTAGAAATAAAAGTTTGCTACATCTGTTACATGTGTTACTATGTTCAACTTGATGTAAAGTGAAAAAAAGAAAGTTGTTGGTATTTGATGATTTCTACCTTTATGTAAAAACTGCAATTTATCACAAGAGTTACAAGTTTCTGATGTCATATACTGGATTATAGCACTCTTTAGGTGTAAGAGATAGATAAGAAAAATATGTTAAGATAAAATTTACAGTGGAATATGATAAAAATAGAAATTTGCAAGTAAATGCTGGTGTTGATTGTTGGTGTATAAGTGTTGCTTCTGTGTCCTTCTGCTTGTGTGTCTGTTTTTTAATCTTTGCTTAATGCTGTAATCACCAGTATGTGTATCAGTTATCAGTTAACAAAGTATAATTATTGAAAGTTTTTTCTTCTTCTGCTTCTTCTTCTTTTTCTTTTCTTTTTTCTTTCCATTTTTAACAAAATGTTGAGTCTAGTGTGTACACTTGTGAATACTGAAACTCATTCATCCAGTGACACACATTTAGTCTTTCAATTTCCTTGTTTATTTGCACTGCATTTATTTTGCTTTTTCTTTTAAGAAATTGGGTGAAAGTACATCAAATATCAAGGAAGAGTTGCTGCGTAGAAACATTCTCAGACACTTGACACCACTCCTGTATCTCACTCAATACACATTTCAGATTTGCCTTAATGTAAATAATAAGTGATATTAAATCCTCTTGACCTTTGCAGGGGTTACCTATTCTGGAGAAGCCCTACCGAATGGGGACAACAGATCTACTCCTGGGCACAATCCACGAGTCGTATCAACACAGTCAGCACCCTCTATGAAATCAACCAGGGGGATGAGACTGCAAGTGAAGGTAAATACAGGAGGCCTTTTCTCTGTTATTATGGAGTGTTGCATAAGAGGGTGTAGTTCTGGGTTTCCCTTGCAGGTAAGTTAATGATTTGATTTACGTAAAATTGGAAAACCTAGATGAATTTGATGTTAGTAGTAGGGTTTTTTTTTTCTTTTTCTTCCTCTTCTTTCTTTTTTTTTCTTCTTCCTCTTCCTCTTGTTGTTGTTGTTCTTCTTCTTCTTCTAATTTGGAATTCCTTTTGTTTTATTTATTTTATTACTCTTTTTTTTTTCCAGAATTCCATGGCTTGGACAGCGACGTATTGTTGAAAGCACTCAAGGCTTTAGAAGCGTCTGGGAAAGTAGAAATAATGGACTTTGGTGACAATCAAGGAGTTAAATTCCTGTGAAGCTTTATCAGATTAAACGCATCCTTTCTGCAAGATCCGGAAACCGGTGGCACGGGAAGACGAAGATTTGCCGTGCGATGTTTGTTGTTCTAATTGAAGTTGTGGTGGAATATACTAAGGGATTTTGATAGTGTTACTTGGTGATCACTGTTTTTTTTTTTTACTTTTTTCATTACACAGGAATTTCAGAGTCTGATATTCGGTTAAGAGGTGAACACATAGGATGCACAAGCTTTTTACAATCATGTTTTTTTTTTATGATTATTCAATGTTTATAAAAGAGATTGATGTAGAAAACCTCATGCTACTTATATAAATAATGGTCACATTGTTATGAGAAAATCAGTGTGATACAGTAACAATGAATAACATGTGTATAATTTATAAACAAGGCCTTAGTTTATTTAACTTTTAAAATGCCAGTATATAATTGTGTTAAAATATGAATTTTATTACAGACAGTGAATAGCTGTTTTTACTTGTCAATTTCAGTAGGTCCTTCTGATATACAGACAGAAATATTATGTAATACATTAAACTGATAATAAATATACTGAAACTCTGTAAAATGGTTACAGTTATGATGAAAAACACAGCAAAGTGTGTGTGTAACGTAGTATTAGACATGACACAAGCCGTCCCTGTAGGAAAATGTAGTGTTTTTGATTTAACACTGTACAGAGCTGGTATGACTAGGAATCATAGTAGTAAACTCGAAATGACAATTACAGATATGAAGGATAACATTAATCAGATTGCAAAATGACAGTAGATCAATCTTGAAAAAAAAAAAAAAGTGATTTTAAAAAAGAAAAAAGTTTATTGTTTAGAAGGCCTTTGATTGTCTCCTGATGGATTTTACTTAGGATATATTCAGGGAGCATTTGTGATGCAAGAAACAGTGTCTAGATAGAGTAAGGTAAAAGTGATTGTTCTCACATGCATTTGTAGGTGTAACAGCAAAGATTGTGTGCTTATATTATACATGTAATAATTTTAATGTAAAAGTATGATACACTGTTATACTTTGTTTATGGTAATCCAAGTTTTGAATATGGGAGTTTGGATATAAAGTGTATTTATAATTTCTTTCTTATCTTATAGGTAAAGGAAGGAATTAAAAAAAAAAAATTAATCATTTTATTACTGCATAATTTTTCTCAATGGGGCAAAATTTGTTCATTAATAGATTGTTAATTGGTCAGCATATTATGTCATGGCTAATGAAAGAATTAGTGTTTAGAAATTTCCCCGGCCAGTTAGGGAAAATTATGCTTATAGCTCAGTAAAATTACAGTTGATATATTTCTGACGTGGAGTTCATGATAATCAGTAATTAATAATGATAATGATAAATCAAATAATCATATAGAATAATGGTAATCTGCTAGTCATTCTGGGCAATAAATTCTTCAAGATTTGCCTCCCAGATCAGATATGGCATATTTTATTTGAAAATTCAAAAAAAGTTTTATCATGCAATGTATTTCATGCTTCCAATTTTCAATTAAAATACAAGTTTGAGAAGGAAAAAAAACTGGTAAGCAATGAATTAAAATGTATTTACTAAACATGTATTGTATAAGACTGTTTTTTTTATATTATCCCTTTTAACAATAATATACCTTTACCATGTTCTTTCATTAGTCCGTCTATACTTTTCGTCTTGATTAATAATTTGTGGATAATAAAAGTTACAAAGTCCTACTTTCAATTTATTATATTAAAAAGAAAAAACATAATAAAGGCATAACTGAGAATATGTCACGCAAGATTAAATATTTATCTAATTTACATCTTTTATGCCATTCAGAATTCGACAACCGACATCTTATAAGCCAATATTTTACCAAACGTTGTACGGATTCATAGTCTCAACCACGATTACCTTAAGGGAAACTTCATAGAAAAAGCAATGTTAATGAAGAACCTTGTTAAAGAATTTAATCTGTAATATACAATCAACATGATACAAAAAGTATAAAAGTATAAAATTTTCCAACACTGTCAAGATTTGTTATTGTGATATTTTTTCCCCGTCGGGTCTATCCCTTTTTTCTTTTTGCATTTCTTTTGCTTTTTATAGGTATATAATCTTATTCTATGTTATGTCAGTGAAGCATATCATAATTAACATGAAATATTTATCTTTACATCTTTCTTAGGAACAAAACCATAATTCCAAAACACACAGTTAATCGTAACAGTTAATCGACAATTTTTTCTCATTGGCGTAATGACTTGCAGCCTAGCTAAAGAACAATGCTGATAAGTATCCTGTGCAATGGCAGTGCAATACACAGCTACTAACTGACGTGTTTTTGGGGAACCTTCTAGTTTTCTAATCTGCCTCGTTTGTCTATCACTATGCATAGCTTTAAGTGATGATTTGTCTTGCAAAATACTCTTCACTGCTCTACCACCTTGCATTTATTTTGTGTTTATACAGTATGCAGATTATGGTCGATGTACTTTACTAAAGCACCTCAAAAGTGTCAAAACTGTAAAAAGTGCTCTTGGAGAAATTCTAAAAATTATTATAATGATAATAACTGCTGATAAATACAAGATCTGCGAATTATTTCATTATACATACATCCATAGACACATACATACATATCTCTCTCTCACCCTCTCTCTCTCACTCCCTCACCCTCTCTCTCACCCCCTCACCCCCTCACCCTCTCACCCTCTCTCTCACCCCCTCACCCTCTCACCCTCTCTCTCACCCCTCACCCTCTCACCCTCTCTCTCACCCCCTCACCCTCTCACCCTCTCTCTCACCCCCTCACCCTCTCCCTCTCTCTCACCCCCTCACCCTCTCCCTCTCTCTCACCCCCTCACCCTCTCCCCTCTCTCACCCCCTCACCCTCTCTCTCTCACCCCCTCACCCTCTCTCTCTCACCCCCTCACCCTCTCTCTCTCACCCCCTCACCCTCTCTCTCACCCCCTCACCCTCTCTCTCACCCCCTCACCCTCTCACTCTCACCCTCTCTCTCACCCCCTCACCCTCTCTCTCTCACCCCCTCACCCTCTCTCTCTCACCCCCTCACCCTCTCTCTCACCCCCTCACCTCTCTTTCACCCCCTCACCCTCTCTCTCTCACCCCCTCACCCTCTCACCCTCTCACATACTCTCTCATACTCTCTCACTCTCACTCTCACTCACACACACAATGTACTGCTTTGGCTGAAGCCTGAATCTAGCCCAAAAGCTTGTGAGATTTCTAATGTTTAGATGTGTACTATTTCTGAACTTAGCTCTTGTCCTGGTAATGGACCTAGTAGTTCTAAACTCCAAGAATGTTAACAATAACATAATAATTTGCATATCCTGTCTATCTCATTAAAATGCCTTGAGACTAGTAACTTTCAGAGAAGTGTTTAAAAATTAAGGAAAAAACACAGGGATACATCATTGGATTTCACATAATATTGTTACCTGTCAAATCCAAAATGTATTCTTAAAATTCCTCATAACAATTACACAAGAACATTTAGCTAGTCATTCAAGTTCCTCCATGTTCAAAATAGTCAGAATGCAACAATAACAGCTTTTAAGAATATTGTGAAATGGTAACAATGG